ATGGTGTTCCCTTGTCTATTATCTCTGACAGAGATAGTCGGTTTACTTCAAAATTTTGGGAAGGATTACAAAAAGCTCTGGGCTCCGAAATTCGCCTAAGTACAGCTTAYCACCCACAAACTGATGGACAAAGTGAAAGAACTATTCAAACTCTAGAAGATATGTTAAGAAGTTGTATTATCGACTTCAGAAGATCATGGGAAGATCATTTACCATTAATAGAGTTTGCATATAATAACAGTTATCATTCCAGTATTCAGGCAGCGCCATATGAGGTATTGTACGGACGTAAATATAGGACGCCATTATGTTGGAATAAAGTGGGTGAGAAACAGTTGACTGGTCCTGAAATTGTTCAAGAGACTTCCGAAAAGATTGAACAAATCCGTGAAAGAATTAAGACAGCACAGGATCGCCAGAAAAGCTATGCTGATAATCGTCGAAAATCCATAGAGTTTGATATAGGCGATTTTGTTATGTTAAAAGTTTCGCCATGGAAGGGTGTTATTAGATTCGGGAAGAAGGGAAAACTCAGTCCAAGGTATGTTGGGCCATTCAGAATTTGTAAACGAATCGAGCCAGTAGCATATCAGTTATAGCTACCAGAAGAACTGAACCGGATCCATAGCACTTTTCATGTTTCGAATCTGCGGAAATGTTTGGCTAATCCGAATTTAGCTGTACCGTTGCCAGAAATTCAGTTAGACAGCAAATTGAACTTTGTGGAAACACCAGAARCCRTGGTAGACAGAAAAATCAAGGTGTTGCGAAACAAAGAGATAAGTCTGGTTAAGGTACAGTGGAAATTTCATAAAGGACAAGAGGCAACTTGGGAATTAGAGTGAAATATGAGATCAGAGTACCCGTGGCTTTTTGACTAAAGGAATTCTGGGACGGAATTCTTTTGAGGGGAGGATAATGTGATAACCAGACTCTGGTTATTACCTAAGGTAAATTTATACGTGAATATTTGACTAAATAATTTTCGTGGTAGCATGATAATTTGTTACGTGCCGGTATGTGAAATGATATTTAGATATATATATATATATATATGTTTATGAATATATATATATATATATATTAATGTGAAATGCATGAATATGCAAGGTGTATGTGTGTATGCATGTATATGTGCATGCATGATGTGGCAAAAGAAGGGGAGAAGGCGGTTGRCCGACTTTCCCCATTTGGTAGGTATAAAAAGGGGGTTACCYCCTTCATTTGACTCTTCTTGCCATTTTGGGAGGAATTTGAGAGAGTTATAAAAAGTGTTGTCCGGTTTATTAAGAGAAGGTGATTGCAAGTTGATTTTCAAGTGTCAAGCTTCAAGAAGGATTGATTCTAGTGTTTTGGGTTTTAAAAGCTTTAAAAGGTGAGTGGTTCTAAATCTTTTACATAAAAAAGCTTTTACTGGTTTTGAATCCTTATTTCGTACTCTTTGTTTCCTTTGAAAAGAAACCTTGCTAAATATTTGCTTAAGTGTTTGTYCGGACAAAGCTTGGCCGGATAAGGGGTTTAAACCGGATAAGCCTTGTGAGGTTTAGTGACCGGATAAGT